AGACATTTCTCAAAAGAAGACATAAAATGGCCAATAGGTATATGAAAAAATGCACATCATTAGTCACCAGAGAAATGCAAATCAAAACTACAATGAGATATCATCTTCCCCCAGTTAAAATGGCTCTTATCAAAAAGACAGGCAATAACCAGTGCTGGTAAGGGTGTGGAGAAAGGGGAACCCTTGTACACTGTTTGTGGGAATGTAAATTAGTGCAACCGTTGTGGAAAACAGTAGAGAGGTGCCTCTAAATCTAAAAATAGAACTACCGTATGACCCAGAAATCCCATATACCCATTGCTGGGTATATATCCAAGGGATGGGAATTCAGTATATCAAAAAGATATCTGCACTCCCGTGTTTATTTTGGATTTAAACTATCATTGTTTTCTCTTGATTATCTAAAAGGCAGCCATATTCCCGGTTACTCTAGTAAATTCTTTTCTAGCCAGCTAGTTCAGTCTACTCTGTTTTTTCTACTCATTAAATCAGATGACACGCAAGCTTTGGGTACCTACGTCCCCACCACAGCTTCACAAGGGAGGTATCATGCCTGTGTGCTGAAGAAACAGGCTCAGAATGGCTTGCACTGTATTCTTGGTAACTTCTTCCCAAACCAAATTTGAGATGCTTCCCACTGATTTTTGGGCCCCTTCCAGCTGCTTGAGACAGTATGGAGAATGCTTTTGGATATTGAATTTTCTGGAGCATTTGGTAGATTATAGGAAAATGAAATAGCCTAATAATTTAGTTGCATCCTGGAAGAGCTGGGACATAAAATCCCCAGGTTCCACATGTCCCAATCTCGTAGATTATGCTGAACAGTGGTAAACAATTTAGACCAGCTTGGGTATGACATGAAGCTTCCTCTTGGCTATTTCTACAACTGCACATTGAATGGAAGGAAATCACTTAAGCCCTCAAAACACTGTCTGGCAGGAGGTAAAATGCCTCGCTTGGCTTCCTGCCCCATCCCTCCCACACCCACAGCTGGGACCGTTTGGCCCCCACGCCAGCTCCCAGATCTGAGACGCCCCCGTCCTTCATCCGGCTGAGTTCATAATTCCAGTCACTTGTAGAGGAGAAATGTGTTTTGGGGACTTCCATTTTTAGATTTCAGTGAATTGGGTATTATCAAATACTTACACAGAACCAACAAAAGATGAAATGTGCACACAAGACTTCCCTGCAAGAGTAGTGAAGGAATCTGCTTCCTTGTGTGTATGTATCTTGGACTGATAAAATGGACCACGGTCAAGCCTACCAAGTATGCCTTCATCCTTCAGGTAACATACATAACCGAGGCAGGCCAGGTTTGTTTCATAATGGCATCTTAGTTTTCACTGCTTTCAACACAGACGTATTTTATTTGTATATTAAACATGTAGAAATATGTTCCTCCCCATCTTTCTTTGAACATGGTCTTCTCTATATCTTTTGTTTACCCATTTTAACAGGAACATGAGAATTCAACCTATTCTACTTTTTTCTTTTTTATAAGCAAAGGTAGAGTGCAAATGTGATGATAAGTGGAAAGTGATTCTTAGCCTTGGTGTTGGGGACGATAGGGAGTGGCGGGGACTATGGCAAACTGGATGGTGCCGCCTTAGCTGAAGGCAGAAGTTCCTATCCAATGCCAACTGATTATTGGCACAGGATACGCAGGCCCCCTTTTGCCAGGTTCTCCAAAATTTTAAAAAGAAGCCAGGAATCTGTATTTTAATGTGCAATTTCCTAATAATAAAATATTGCTAACTAATTGAATTTGGAGGTTGGCACCCAGCAGGCCAAATAAAACATGTCTGTGGGCCAAATTGTGCCCGTGGCCACCAGTTCACAATCTCTGGTTTTAACTGTCAAAAAGAACAATGGAACTACTATGTTGTCATTGTTGATGGTGTTTCACTAAGCACTATAGAAATATAGTTCTAAGAAAGTCAATTACATTTCTAGTTGATGTGGTACTTCATACGCAATAAATATAGAATTAAGAAAGCAGATTCCTTATGGTTAGTGATTTATAATAAAATAAGGTTATGCCCTTCACAGAGTGGCTGCCAGTGGGTAAGAATTCACATTCACAGAGAATGTGAGCAGGCTAGGAAAGAAGCCTCAAGTGGACAATTTTGTTAGAATGTGCTTTGTCTTATGCGTTAGCTCCACTTGGGGCCATCCTTGTCCTGAGCTGCTTTGGCTTCGAGAGCCTCAGTGCCTTAAGAGCTTCCTCTAGGGTCCTGCCTCTGTCTTGCCAGTTGCCCCCCTTACCAGGCTGCAGCCCTGATGATAAGAATATCCACCACCAATAATAGAAGCCAATATCCAATGAGCATTGCCCTGTGCCAGGCACTCTGATAAAAGCTTTATATTTCAGCAACAGCTTGCATCTTCCCAACGACCTAGGAGGAAGAAAGCTTTCTCGTGCCCATTTTACAGATTTGCCCATGATTCATATAGCTCGAAAGTAACAGAGCTGGGATTCAGTCCAGGCAGTATGATCCCAGAGCCCAAGCTCATAATTCCTACCTTCTCTGCTACTTCTTGATTCTTAAGGGGTCTGTCTCCTCCAGTGACAGGGAACTCACTACCCTACGAGGATCTTCTGATTCCCCATGAACTCTGTAACATTTGAAGACCTTACCCACTCCCTCCTCCTCTTGGGCAATCTGTCACTCACTGAGTAGGTGACTGGGTAAATTGCATGCTCTCTCAGGGCCTCAGTTTCTCTGTCAATAAAACAGAGATAAAAGGGAGGTGGCTGGATCAGTGTTCTCAGGGCTCTGTCCATAGCAAATGTTCTGCGATTCCACAATGCTCAGGGAACACCGATGGCTTCCATGGCCTTTAAGGTCATGTGCACACACACCAACCAGCCTGTCATTGAAGGTATCAGCACTCCAGGGCCACCCTGTTGGCTGGTCCCTTTTCCGGCCGGGTTGGTTTTTTGGCCTTTTCTTGTTTGGGCTTTTTTTTTTTTGGGCCTTTTTTTCCCTTCCTTCTTTTTTGCTTTGAAACTCTCAGCAGACCCCAGAGTCTGGGTCAAATCTCACTCCCACCTCGAAGCCTCTCCCGTCTTCTCTGGGCCATGCATTGATTTCTCCTTTTTCTGAAAGCTATTTGCATTAATCCTGTACCCCTGGGGTCCCCCACCTCTGTGGACCGTGGACCACTATTGTCCTTGGTCTGTTAGGGACCAGGTCGCAGAGCTCTGCTCCCTACCCTCACCATCCGTGGAAAATTGTCTTCCATGAAATTGGTCCCTGGTGCCAAAAAGGTTGGGACTGCTGCCGTACATGATCTTTTGCATCTGTATAGCGCCTGATAGAGGACAGCGTGTATAAGTTATCCCATTCGGAACAGGATCATTGTGTCTGTAACATAGATGAAGAAAGAAAAAACCAGACCGAGAGCAGGATTTGCCCCATCTCACTCTTCGGCCAGGGCCAGAACTGGACTGGAACCCAGGCTTCTGATCTCCAGGCCAATGGCCCTTCCTCTGAGCCCTAGCTGCTCCGGTCAGGCTGGCATTAACCCTTTCATGCCCAAGTGCTCTTTGTCCAGTGCCATTTTGCTCTCAGGGCCAGGGAGCAGGTCTAACCCTCTTGTTCACCTGCAGGGAGCATGGCTGAGTGGTGAGGAGCATGGGTGTGCTGCCACACACTAGCCTTGGGTATGTTTTGAACCTCAGCTTCCTCATCTATGAAATGGGTATCATGGCAGTACCAACTCTCCAGGGCTGTTACGGGATTAAATGAGATAACACAGGTAAAGCATTTAGCACAGGGCCTGGGACCTAATCCACACCCAGTAAATGTTAGCTGCCACCTCCATTCCCATGCCACCTCCTCTACAAGGCTAACTTGCTTGGCAGGAGGTGACCTGTCCTCTAGAGTAGCGGTCCCCAACCTTTTTGGCACCAGGGACTGATTTCATGGAAGACAATTTTTCCATGGATCAGGGGTGGGGTGTTGTGGGTTGGGGGGACGGTTTGGAGCTCAGGCAGTGAGGCTCAGCCATTTCATAACAGGCCACAGAATGGTACCCGGGCTGCGGCCTGGGGGTTGGGGACAGCACCTTTGGAGAGTGGTACAGAATGAAACTCTGGCATTGACATGGGGCCTTGGTGCACTGTGGCTACTTCGTGTGTCAGGAAGAGAGGCACCAGGCATGGTCCTGGTTTGAGAGCTGTCCAGGTCTCAGCCAGCTTTGGTGGTCCCTCCTCTGCCCCGGAGATCTCAGCTATTGTGCCTGGTGGTAAACTTAATAACCAAAAGCCACCATTTGGGCATCTACCAGTGCTCTGTGCTAAGCTCTGTAAAGGTGGGACAGTCTGCCCTGCACCCCCTCACCCCCTCTGAGGGCTTCTGGACGCTGAGACTGGTTCATGTCCCCCATATCTCATCACAGGGCCTGGTGTGGTGTCTCACTCAATGTTTATTGGCATCTCCTGCTACCTAAGCTGTTTCAGGCAGAGAATAACACGAAGATAAACTCTTGCTCTCTGGAGCTTACATTCTGGTGAAGGGGGGAGATGAGGTATAGCGAGGAAAGCGCTGGAATACCAGATCCACACAAAAAATTTTTATTAGGACTATCTTTGCTGCATATATCACTTATGCCCCCAAGCAGGGCCGCTCCTGGGCATTCTAGCGGGTTTGTGTGTCAGGCGTGCTGGGTGATGCACAGCAGCCAGGAGCTCAGTCCATCTGTGTGACCGTCGGACATTCGTTCCGCCTCTCTGAGCCTCGGTCTCCTCGTCTGTCATATAAGGAAATCACAGCGATTCCAGCCTCCCTGGGTTGTGGAGAGGATTCCATCGGCCGCCTGTGAAAGGAGAGTGCTTTGTCTGCAGGGCAGCCCGGACAGGGACAGACTTGAGGGCGGGAGGGAGCCGCGTCCCGCTTGCCCAGGCCAGCGCGAGCGCGGGGCTTTCCTCGCAGGTTATATAAGGCCGGCCCGGGTGGAGGCAGCTGCGGGAAGCGCACGTCCGTCGAGGGTGGAAAGGGGCGTGGGGAGGCCGCCGGCGCGGCCGGGATTCCCGGGGCGTGAGTGCGCCGCCGCTGCCCGAGGTGGGGCGCAGCGCGCGGGGGAGCGCAGGGCGCGGCGGAGTCGGGTTTCAGAGCGCTGGTGACTCAGGGCGCCGGCTGGGTGCCGGGAGCTGGGAGCCGGGATCCTGCCTGCCCGCTGCGTTGCCGAGCGCCGCCTTTGTTCCCTGCAGGAAGGGCGAGCGCGGCGGCCGGCGATCCGCACCCCCTCGTCCTCCGCGGAGCTCGACCGCTCTGCTCCGCTCGCCGCGCGCCTTCGGGAGCTCCGCAGACCCGCGAGATGGCGCCAAGGTAGGACCCGCTTCCCCGCGTCCCGGGCCCCTCCGACCCTCCCGTCCGCCTCACCTTCTCTCCCTCGACCACTTCTTGCAGGAGGAACGGGCGGCACTGGTGCCTGATGTTGCTGCTGTCGGTCTCCGCGCTCCTCTCCGCGGTCACCCAGATCCGCGCCGCAACAGGTAAGAGACCCCGCTGGAGAGTGGCACCAGCTCCCCCCGCGCCTTGGGAAGTTGGTTTTGGCTGCGGGCGCCGCTGCGGTGCGCGCCTCATTCCTGGACATAAAAGGGAGTCCTCGCCACTTCGTGCGCACTGGCGGTCCTGCTGGCGGCTTCCTCCCGCCAGTGCAGGGGCTATAGCCGTGAATGGGATCCCTGGGCAGCTGGGGCGGGTGGAGCGCTGTCTGGGCACCGGAGGTGTTTGAGCTGGGCTCGGCTCCTCCAGTCTTGGGCAGAGAGGGACTTTGGAAGCACAGTGACAGCGCCCGCGACAACTGCCTCAGCGCAGCCGGCGTCCGCGCTGGCTACCTTCTGGTAAAGGCGGGTCTGGGACTCTCTCCGCACACAGGTGCGAAGCATGACCATCAGCAGGGACACCTGGCGCTTTTGCCGCGCACGCACTAATGGAACAGAATTGCTCTGATGCGTAACTTAGCTCTGAGTTACCACATCTATCATGGGCACCGGCTCATGGGCGATGGAAAGAGCTGTGGCTGGGAGCCAGGGGATCTGGTCCTTTCCGTTCCCTGGACCTCGGTTTCTCCAGCAGGACTCAGGAGACTGGATGAATAGTGAAGTCTGAGTTAAAACGGGTCTCCGTTAAGGTCAGGCTGTCTGGCTTTGAATCGAGGCTTGGCTGGGTGATGAATTTCAGCTCTCCGTGCCTCAGTTTCCTCATCTGAAAAGGGGAATAATTAGACCAACTTCCCTCCTAGGAATACTGTGAAGATAAAAGGAGAGATTAGAAACAATGTGCTTCCCACACGCCTGGCACATATTAGGCACAAAGTAAGTGATAGTAGTTACTGCTTGATTCTTGCAGTAACTATGTGTTGGAAAGGAATGCAGGCATTTTTAGAACACTGAGGTTGAGAGAGGCTTAGAGAGCGGCCAGTGCAAAAGCTAGGACTTGAACCCAAGCCTCTAGGTTCCTGTCCCTGCTCAGCTTCTTTTCTCAAGCAGCTTTGCAGGAGAACTATGCTTTCCAGACAGTAGCTTCTGACCCCTTTTCGATTTAGGGGATCAGTACTGGCTTCAATTTAGTAAGGGAGAGGGAGGACTAGGAAATACCCTTTGGTGTTTCTGCCTCTAACCAGGGATTCAGAAGGTGGCCTTGGTTAACTCTTTGTTTGCCTAAAGAAGCCCAGAACCACCCAGACCATTGTATCCTTGGGAGCAAGACCCAAATGCCATGATAGCTTTTCCTGCCAGAGCGTCCGGCCTGGCATTTCTTGCAGATCAAAGGGCAGCTGGAGCATAGTTTTGGCCTCTCAGCACCACGGCCCATGTCAGAACATTGCAATTTTGCATGTGATATAGGGTACTGCTAACTCAGCCGTAGAGGGCAGCTTTGGCTTCTGTGGTCTTTTGTGAACTTTGCTGAAACTTCCAATTTCCTAAAAAGAAGGGAGGTCTGGGGATAGAAACTTTGGTTTTCTTTCTCCTCCCGCACGTGTAGCCTGAATCCCTCCATGTCAGGTCAGGGCTGTGTTTCTAACACAGAGGAAGTCCTGTTGCCATCCATAACATGAAAAGGGAGGGCCGGGAGACCCTGAGGAGCTGAGAAGGGCCTAGGGAGGATCGTTTGCATCTGATGGGTATTCAGTGCCCCTTTGGGAATAGGAAGAGAATCCTTAGAAATGTGAACTATTCTCCTGAAAACCAAATTTTTAATTCAGTTTAATATGGCTAGTACTTAGAAAACGTTCCATAAGTTCAGGTGGAGGAGTGAAGGTGTTCATATTCATTCACCCAGTCCTTACAATCACTCTAAGAGGTGGCGACTGAGGACTGTTACTATCTCTTTTTCAGATGAGGAAACAGAAGTCATAAGCCTTCTAAGTGGCTGGGGTAGGATTTGAACCACATAGTCTGACTCCAGAGTCCTTGCTCTTAACCATTCTAGTATGCACTTAGAGGAGCTTCAAAGGTAGAGAAGCTTTAGGGGTCCCAGTCTCCAATGAGCCCCATAATCTGAATGTCACAATGGTAACATGAGTCCATCGTGCAGTCTACAAAGTACTTACCCTCCGCCAAGTCACTGGATCCACCACCCAGCAGTGCTAGAAAGTAAGCTGGGCTCCATCTTACAGAAGGAAAGTGACTTCCTCAAGGCCACACAGTTGCAGCTGGATAGATCCATGATAGCCCTCCCACGTCTGTGAACCCCAAGACTGGCACTGTTTCTCCTTTAGGGCCACTTTTCAACTGGCTGTCAAAAACAATTGCCAAAACTTTATAGCACTAGTATGAACGAGCAGTGTTGTAAGCACTTTGTGTGAAGGAACTCATTCAATCTTCACAGCAACTCCATTTTTCATTCCCTTTTACAGATGAGGAGATGGAGGTGTAGTCATTGGCCCAAGGGCATGCAGCCTTCAGTGACAGAAGTAAAATTTGAACACAGAGGATCTGATTCCAGAATCTGTGCTCTTGACCACTATGCTGTATGCTCAGTCAGGGTGGCTCCTGAAAGCATGTGTGCACGTGGAATATTATGAGCTTAAAATGCATTTTTTTCAACAGTTTGGCAGTCTCTTAAAAAGTTAAACATACACTTACCCTACAACCTAGCAATTCTACTCCCAGGTGTCTACTTAAGTGAAAGGAAAGCATATGTCCACCCCAAAATTCGTATACGAATGTTCATAGCAGCATTATTCCATAATGGCCCCAAATGGGAACAAACTGGTCCATCAACTGGTGAATAGATAAAGAAAATGTGGTATATCCATTCAGTGGAATACTACTCAGCCATGAAAAGGAATGAACTGCTGATAAATGCTACAACAACATGAATAAACCTTAAAACCATTAAACTAAGTGAAAGAAGCCAGACATAAAAACCCTATATTGTAAGAGTCCATTTATATCAAATTTCTAAAAAGGCAAAATTACAGAGATAAAACAGATTGGCAGTTGCCCAAGCCAGGGATAGAAGCAGGGATTGACTGCAAATAAGTTTGAGGGAACTTTCTGGAGAATGTTCTAAAACTGGATTGTGATGGTGGTTGCACAACTCTATAAATTTACTAAAATTCATGTAACTGTACATTTAGAATGGGTGAATTTTATGGAATATAAATTATACCTCAATAAAGCTGTTTATAAAAATACAAGAATGCATTTTCCCAGAGCGTCTAGGCTCCAGGTCTGGTGGGGCTTCCAGGTGGGGTTCCCAGCCAGCCACATATAGAGCTGGCACGCAGCTCGTGACTCACAAGCTGCCGGCCTCATAGTGCACTGTTTCTCTGGGAAGATGGGTCCTGAGTTCCACCTGCAGCTCCAGGCCTCCAGCTTTACTGTTCCTACCACCCGTGAATGCCATTGCGGGCCCAGGGCGAGGCTCCTCAGGCATGGGAAGAACACAGGCGTATGGTAGTTTGCAGATAGTGGATCTGTTAAAAAGTGCATCTTTGTAAGCTTTCTGGTATCCTACTCCCCCCACAAAAAAACCCAAAATTCAAGCACTGGGAAACCTGGGTTCTACCACTGATTTCCTCTGTGAACTTAGATGAGTTACTTTTCCCACTCTGAGCCTCATTTTTCCCATCGTAAAATGGGGTGATAAGATTCACTCATCTCTGTAAGTCTTTCTAATTTAAAATTCTGGGAAACACAACATCATTTATCTAGTTTGAGGTTTATTGTTCTACATAGTTTAGCGCAACAAATACACACTGAGCACTGACTCTGTACCAGCTCTCATGCTGGCAGGGTACAGAAAGGGTTTGGGCACAGGTCTGCCCTGAGGGGCTTGTAGTTCACAGGCAGGAAGACAGGGTCAGAGACAAATAAATGTAATGCAGTTTTTCCTGGAGCTCTTCTCATCTAACATGCAGCATGTCTTGTGTGCAGCCAACCCCATCCTCCTACACTGTCCTGTTTAAAGAGATCCTTGTCAGTAGGTTGTCACCCACGTGGCTTCTTGTGCCCCTAATGGGTCAGGGCTGAGCGGGAGGACAGGATCAACTCTTCCTTTTCCTGTAAAGATCCAGTGTCATTAGAATACTCAGCACTTTAGAAGATAAGGGAGCTATTGTCAGGGCAGGGATGTGGTGTCACAAGCAATTTGTTCTCGCTAATAAAGTGCTGATAGGTGCAAATTATTTACTTTTCTTTAAACGGTTTTATTGTGAAATATAACATCCATTCAGAAAAGTACATGCTAAAGTGACAGCCCAATAATTTGTCACAGAGCAAAGATCCATGTAAGGTCATCAAAGTAAAAAAATTGGACAGAAGCTCTCCTGTGCCCCTTTGCTGTGTTTCTCTCCTCTTCCTCTGAGAGGTAGCCATTACCTTGACATTAACAGTCATCACTTCCTTGCTTTTTAAAAATATCTCTACTCCCTCAGTATGTATCCCCAAGTTCTGAAGTTGTGTTTTACTTTATTTTGAATTTTTTACATGCAGCAAAATTCTTTGGTGTCGGATTTTTTCACTGAATATTACATTTTTGAGATTTATTCATGCTGTTGTATGTGGTTGTTCATTTCCAATGCTGTATAATATTCCATTGTGTTAATATACCATGTATTATTTATCCATTTTTTTCCCGACAGCATTTGGGTGGTTTCCACTTTTGGTTAATATAATAGTGTGGCCTTGAGCATTCTTGTATATGTTTCGTTTCTATTGGTTCTATACCTGGGCGTGGGGTGCTGAATCACAGAGTGTGCATACCCTCCAATTAAGTAGACAATGCCAACATGTCTTCCAAAGGGTTGTTGAGATGTACATGGCCACCATGAAAAGAGAGTCCCTGTTTCTTCACTTCCTCACAAGCACTTGGTCTTGTTACTGAGCTAAATTTCAGCATTTCTAATGGGCGCATGTTAGAATCATACTGTAGCCCTAATTTACATTTTTCTGATTATTAATTAAGTTAATCACCTTTTTATATGTTTATTGACCATTTGGATATCTGTACTTACTTTTTGTTGAGGTGAAATTCACATAAC